ATGTCTTAACTGGATCGAACGTTCAATTTAACTTAAATGCAATCATAATTTCTCCTCATAGTATTAAAAAAATAAAATAAAATAGCAACACTGTTATGTTCAGGGATTCGTTCGATTTATTTCCTGAATCATCAGTTTACAGTGATTTATAGTGAGTAGGTCAATGACAATGGTTATATTTAATACAATAGTCGTTTTGGTTGCCTAGTGACTCAATTAATAATGCTGTAGCATCAATCTTCATCATGTCTATTGTGAAACACTACTTTCCTTTGTTATTTAACATAGCATGTCGAATCTTGTATTTTCTAGAAGAATTATTAGGGAAGCTTAACAAGATAATTGCCTTCGAGTTTATATCGATCATGTTCATACGATAACGAGTTCTTACGGCTATTTACTGTATAAGGAAATGGATATCATATTGAGGAGAAGAGAAATGATCAACCAGAGAGTAAGATTGTAGTTTGCTTATCGCAAGGATATAGATTATATGTATCCATCCAACATGGATGACTGATTCTTTCTTCTGTCTGTCATAGCGACAAATCAACATTGAAATGCAGACTTTGGGTGTTAAGTCACACCATTGAAGATTTACAGCGCTTATAGTTCTGTCGTCAAGTATCCCGCCAGTCAAGTTGGGGAGAGATTTCGCTTGTTCAACACAAAAAGATGTGTGATGGATATTGACCAATAAAGATCGACTTTACGACATTAGAGCACGACATACAAATGTAGTTGTATAATGGCCGTTTGTCACTTTTTTATAATTGCTTTTTGCAATATGAATTGGGGTTGTTTTTACATTGAATTTTCTTTTTATTATCAGTTTTTTGTTGAATACCATATTCACGATACAGGAAGAAAAATGAAATAAACAGAAGGTGGACAATATATAAATTCAACATGAAACCAACGTATTTATCTATTTATGAAATATATTTGGCAATGTTAGAACAATCAACTACAGTGAATATGTACTTTTTTGAAATTGCAAAATGTAAACAATTTAAAAATCTACATGATAGTTTTGATATAAACTTAGTTAAATTATTTCCATCAACTTCAACGCACATTCACTTTTTTAAATTGAAAATTATTAGTAATTACTTGGAATGTGAACTCAAATTAAACGATTTCAAGTAGTTTCATCAAATACACGTTTTAAGTCAAAATTGTCAAGTTGCAACGTTATTTTTATCCAATTAATTTATCCATGTTTTTCAATTTTTGGATAATTATGAATCACAATGTAACTAAAACCTTTTAAAGATGTTTACAATAAATAAGTTTATATTTTGGGGTGAAATGTGATGTCTCCAATGCCTCCTCCCGTCTCGATAGTCACAAGATTATTTATATAGAATTCTAAACGAAGACTCACTACTTATAAAGGTTTCTAGTGACACTTTCGACATGATATGAAATGAATGCATTCAGTTGTGTTATAACGTACAACGTACAATTTCTAATTATACATTTACAAGGTCTACAACATAAATGGACAATAAAATATAAATAATATTTGTACTGTATAATTTATAGGCGTAACAATATAGAATCAATAGAGCATCTAATGGTTTCGTCGCATTAATATTTACAAGATGTCACATCAAAATGTAAGGAATCTGCAATATTGACGGACAATAATTACTGAGCTCTTACCTTCAGCAATCAAAACAAGTCAACGTCAGATGCATCAACTCCCAGCCATCAGCTCAGCTGATTATACAAGTTGTCAATGGCAGACTTCTCAAACCTGACATAACCTCACTATGCCTAGCGTTTGCATCACTTTTGATTGAGACCTGATTTCAGATTAAAGCCTCTAATGCAGGAGCCGTATAATTTACTGCCTTCAGTTGGCCTACTTTTTTTGAAATGCCGTTGGCAAGCAATAAATTTTTCCTACTGACCCATATACGCTATCGCCTGTAACTTATGTAATACTTAGTGTTAAGTTGACGGTTTAACCAACTAAAGACACGTTTATTCTAATATAAATATTATATACTTGATAAACCCGTTTCAAATTGAACTTCTTTTAATAGTTTAGTTTTATTATATGAACACGCAATTATTTATTAAAATGAGCATGCTTTTTCTGCATCAATGTCATGCATGGTTTTTTTTCCACATAGTGTAAGCATTTGCATAATCTGTATAAGTATATAATATTTATATTATCTAGTTTGAATCATGTCTAACTCGCCCTTGAAATAAGCTGAAAACCTGCATAAACAAAGACGTTTACATGCTTTGTATAATAATTACATTCGAGTTTGCGACTATAACTTTCTCTTTGCTAATTGGAGATGTCAATATCGATGTTTTTGGTTTAAACAGTTTAACAGTAAAGATGTCCGTAGAAAATGTCCAAAGAATGCTTGTTAGTTATCAAGTTAGTGTACCTAACTCGAGTTTCTTTATACAATTAGAAAATTAACTACAAAATAAAAAAAAAAATGCAAATTGGATACACACAGCCATTACGATTTCCTGTGTCGTTTTCCCTCTAGCTTTCATATTATATCTTAAAACAAACAATAATTTACATAATTCGGATTTCCGTTTGAAAAATCAATTGCATTGCCTTGAATCCTGACGCCAAAATCAAAGATGAGGCGCAAAGCATTATCATATGACGACGTAATTATAAAACTGTCCATTAAAATTCCTCATGAGTGTGACGTGAAATGTTGATGAACTCCTTGAAGGTTTATCAAATGCGTTAGGAGTAGACCAACATAAAGTAGTGATGGAAGAAACATAAATTAATATATATTTATTACTTAACGTTTATAGTTATAATATACCTTAACTAATATCTCTTACATACAAAATACGCTATATTGGCACTATGTATATGGTCTTTTGTGTTTCTATGACCTATATAGACACACCACAGGTATTTATAAAATGGTATCTGTATATCTTGTAAATGCTGCGTATTGTATTACGTGTACCTGATATATACCTGGAAGAAAGAGTATATTTACTGAAACAGCCTTTACACTTTATAGCAGGTCAGTATGTCAGGTGTAAATGATTTCGAAACTACACTATTTTCAGTACATTTCCGACATCACTCTATGCAAAGTATTGAACTTTTAATTTTGACCCACATCATGCACATTTTATATTGGCTGCTTTAGTACGATCTTTTACAATATATATCATAATGAGGTACACAGGTGTAACGTTAATTACATCATCTATATCATATATATATATATATATTATAGCACTGCACGCGTTGCTAGCAAATATCATTCCATTACTAGTATGCATATTGAACAGTGTATTGGCACACATCAAATGAACATTACTACCGTGATCTTGAATGGAATATTCAGATTTAAATACCTTTTTGTCAACAATTCCGCATGGATCTAAATCTAAATATATACGAATTTGCAAATTATACAACTTTTTACAAGAAAAGAATTATTTATAAGTATGACACTTATACATAACATCAACATGTCAGAGGACCATTACTCATAGTGACCCCGTCTACGAATGTCACTACGTGTAAGTTACACGTACAACCGTTAAATAGACAGTCATTGCGTATCTACATACGCCGTAATAATAGCCATGTAATTAGCCGCAACAACAGGCAGATCATGATATGTATAACCAACCTTACTTTAATGGAGAAATGTTATGCTATCGACACACAAATATAGGAAGCAAAGCATTACCTCTGTTAAAGAAAAAAAGTAACGTAATTCAAACCTGCAACACAAAATTTGGATGGGAAACATATTAACCACGTGGAGCAAAAATAGATACATCATTAGCTGTGACACCAAACAAACACTTAACCGATGAGACACCACATAGAAACACAAACAGAAGGGCCATAAAATACGCATCAACAGTGGGGCATTACATCAACACGTAAAGAGACTAGAGGAGATTAAAAATGCACTAAGAAAGTATGATACCAATCAGACACATCAGTATTGACGCATGAAAGGACGCACTAAAGGCGTGCCATTAAATGACACATTATCAGTGGAAACACAAACACGGGAAGAGTAGGGGAAACACGCAAATTCGCCAACAGCTAGAGACGACAACAAACAGAAATAACAACATTGAGACATAGATGCACTAAAAGGCACATCAATAAATGGGACCTATATAAGACAGGTAAAGAGAAAGCAGAACATACAAAATACACTGAGAGAGTTGACACCAAATAGACACACCAACCGATGAACATCAGATGCAAAAACGGTGGGGAATACCAAATTAAACAAATCACAATAAAAAGGGCAAAATAGACACATCAACAATATGGGACACAGCAAAGAGACAAATCCTCAAAGGGACACATCAATTAACAACAGAGAGAACACAGAATAGAAAAGTCAACAATGGAGGAAAGACAGCAAATAAACATGTCAACAATTGTAGGGAATACAAAATAGAAACGTCAATAACGGAAGGCAACAAATAGACACATCAGCAATGAGACACGAAGTATACACGTCACAACAGAGGGAAAACCAAATAGAAACTAAAAGAAATACCAAAATTTACACCCATAGATGTGATATGAAATAGATATCTTAAGGCAAAAAATATCACACAGACATGACAGCATAACCACATTGAAGTGCTGCTTGGTGGACAAAGAAAGCAACAAAGTCCAACTGAAGTTAATCTACCAGACTTTTTAAGACTACGGACAGTCACATAGACTTTCTAAAGATAGTTTGTGTTGGTTCTTTTCTATTAAACTACAAGACTTCCAAACAATATTCAGGGACAATTAGGACGACAAATACCAGTAATTGCAGGTACCTGTATCAATTGGCATTAAATAAATCGATGATAAAGGCCGGGGTTAGCATTCTCTATATCAGACATGAAAAGCCATAGAGTTCCTCGTGTACCAACTATTTAGAATATTTACAAATCAAAAATTTGATTAAAACATGAGATAATGTTACAAACGTTTTATCAGAACATTGCGTACTCACAGTTGACGGAGTGCCTACTCGACTAATATGAACAAGTATCCCATTGATCGGAACGGTTGAACGTTTGAGAGGAAGAGACTGGAACGCACGTGAGGTTTCTGCAACAAGCACGCGCCTCTCAAGCAGACGACATGTGAAATCTGTCATAAAAGCCTGTTTTACTTACAGGGATGTGACAGAAACGATCAGTCATACGATCCAGAACCCAGCAGATGAAGTGTCAGCAGACGAGGTGCGTATTGTAATCGCCTCTAGCTATTTGGAGAATGCCCAATAAGCAAAGCTAATATATGGACAAAAGTGTGTTACAGAGGCGAGCGTCTCACTTACGACGTCACGTAAATTATCCTGCGTAATTAAGATAGAAACACCTTTCTACTTGTGACGTCATGATGTTGTTATATATATGCTACGCCATGCTTTAAGTGACCACATAGTCATGCTAGCCAATTTTTATGAACAGTTATGAGTAACATGCACTAAATTCATATAAACAAAAACAATCATAGGTGTGGCAATGCACTGTGTAACATGTAACATATCACGAGTATAATAGTAACTTACATAAACTGACACGCCATACCAACAAAACCAACGTCAAATTTTGAATTAGCATACGTAGTTTGGATAAACGGTTCGTGTTGAACACAACGATTTTAAGAAGAGTTGGTTCTTAACAATAAATAAAAAATGTCATCACGTTACTTGCAAGAAGTTATCATGTATACCTTGAATGAGAAGTTGACGTTTCAATAAACAACGCGATACATAATGTGTTCGTCTCATTAATTTGTGAAATCAACCATACTAATACCCAGTAATAATAGACATTCATCAAACGAGGGCTGATAAAAGTGCATTTACTTTGACCGCTCACCAGTCGGGTAAACATGGTGTACTATCCTTAATCTCACAAAAAACTACACCATAACGGGTGCCATATGTGGTGCAGGAAACGATTATACTTCCGGTTCCGGTTTCATCACTGCGTTTTCGTAGGTGTGCATAATGAAATCATCATTTTTTTTTTTAATTTCTTTTTTAGCATCTTCTTGGTTCCTGATACTTTTTGTTGAACCAATTTTTCTACTTTTGTATTGATACTGGGGAATATGATTTCTTACAACACAAAGCCCCGTATTTAAACACCGGTGTGCCTAGTATTTCTTTCAACTTATCTGTTTTGCACTACGTTTGATCTGTGTATCACAAAATCACAAAACAGAACAAAGTACCTCCTAAAGGTTATGTTTGAAAAAAATAGATGATGACAGCTTAAGCCATGAACTGCAACTTAAATATAGTCAGATATGTGTCTGATCAACTCTTATACACAATAAAATTGTAGCCGAGCATATGTCTGTGGAACTCCTATAGACAATAGCTGGATATGTGTCTGAAGAGCTCTCATAGACAGTATAAGCATTGCAAGGTATGTATGTGGTAATCTTTTATAGGCAATAATGGCATGTCCAGGTGTGCGTAAGAGGATCCCTTAAAGACAGTATATCACTTAAGTACAGCATAATCGTAGCCAGGTAAGTGTGTGTGGATATTTTATAAGGAATATAATCACAATCAGATATGTGTTTGACGATCCTTTATAGACAGAGGAATTAATAGTCTGGTATGTGTCTGAAGATACGTGTTATAAATAATATAAGTATATTCTTATATGTATCTGAGGTTCTCTTACAAAAGAATAATTACAGTATGTGCATAGTGAAGTAAAACAGGCACGTGCACGATCTCTAATAGGTACATTTGTATATGTAGACAATCCGTGTACAATTCCAGCAATCTAACCTAATGGGCTGTTGATTGTATGATAGTATGTATTTCCAATCGCGTGTCAGAGGACCTCTAATATTATTTATGTCTGACAAAAAGACTAAGTTATTATATCATTTTAACAAAACAAATGTGTACCTTTCTTTAAATCGTCAACGAAGTAATCTCCCCCTTACGTCCAGTCCTGCCATCTGCGTAGGTACAAGATAGACATACTTGCTAGAATGAACATTAGAGCACGTGTCAGTTCTTCCTAACTATCTCCAGTAAACGGTCTGTTCAGCAGTTCCTATAGCTGCTGTACGTCCTGTAACCTGACAGGAGGTACATGCACAATGTAACCACAAATGTAGGTTTTATATCATTAACATTGATAGCTGAATTTTTAATTGCAAATAGATGTACCGTTTAACACATATATATAATGAACCAATTAATCAAATAGAGAATATGCATGTGTTAGATCTTAGGATTCCAGGATTGACGACCCTGTATCAGCTGTAAGCACAATGCATGTCAACATTACATAAATACGTACATAACATTAACTTAATACAATAATTTTCTTCAACAGCACCAAAAAACAACAAAACCACAAAACCAAATCATTATCCTGTCGGTTTAGTTGCTGGTACTAGGATGTAATGTGTACCGTCAAGTATTCGTCGTGATCCGGTGGTTAGCTGGTAATATATTGTTAACGGTTTGGACACACCTAAAAATGAAATATACATGTTATCATAAAATAGCCATACTCCCAACATATATCACAACGTCAACCACCCTTCTAACGACAGTCTAGACAAGGTACCTCAGTACGAGTGTTAACAACCCTCGTTTGATTACACGGATAATCACCCATCACAAACAGTAATTCTCCCATCATAATCAATCATCTCTATCTCTATCTAATGAATCCTCCATTATATCAAATACTGTATTGTCTTCATTTACATATCATATTTATAAAAATGCAAATGCTCGTGTGTTGTGTATTAGTGTTAGACACGTTTATAACAATGTAGAATGCCTGCATTAAACAATATGCCATCAGTTATGTATACAATACCACATTAAATAGTATATATAAGAACACTTATGTAACGTTGGTTGATTTATTTGAGTGCTATTTATGGTAATTCGCACTGACAAGTACTTGGCCATAAGATGTATTAATTGACTGTCGAGGGGGACAAATATTCATGTTACACCAACCTGAGGTCAATGCAAATATTAATAGTTTTATTATACCGATTAAATGCAAAATTCTCATAAATATTTACAAACACGTGATTCATAGGGACGATTGTGTAACATTAATCAGATATCCATATTAACTCATTTGAATCATGCGGATGAAAGGATTTGCGCTCACTTTCGCTCTTTTTTAAGTCGGACGTCTCTCCTTTGTAATCTTCAAAGGACAGGTATCAGCCTAGCATTTGGTCATTTTTTGTTTTTACCAGAGACCAATCAAACAGCTATCTTCGTGTCTTCAATTTTGCTATGACATATTCCAGGGGTGTAGAGAGCGAAAGTGAGTGTAACCCCTGGATATTGAGGATTGGCTTGTGTATGGTTTGTGTCTTTGGCGCCCAAATCCATCAAGTTCAAAACAATTGATTGAACTTTCCAATCACTGTTTCTTTCGTTATCAATACTTCCCTGATATAATAATAAAAATGTTAAATTGTGCTTTTAATCGTGTTGCCATAGTTTCTAGTTAAAATGGTATGAATTAGGGAAATGTGCCCATTCAATCACTATTGTGTTATACAGCTTTGGATAAAAAAAAAAAGTTAATTCGAGAGTTTGCTCTATGTTTACTAAGAAAACAAATCAGACAAAACTGTGTGCCAATTCCAACTGCTTACAATGTCAATCATAATTCAATGTTTGAACATTTCTTGTCGTAATAATATCTAGAACGTATTAAAAATTCAGAAACAGACATTTTAAATATTCAATGAAAGGTTCTGAATGTTTTGAAATGTGTAAAGAGTGTATCGTAAGAAGACTGTGTATTTATATCTATGATAAATTATAAGTCTACAACATGTGGATACCCGGAATGGTCGATAAGTAGAAAGCAATACAAATGGCTCCAACAATCAAAAAAGGTACAAACCCAGAGAGACCCACTAACAGCATGGTCACTATACCATACATAAAAGGGGTGTTTGAAGCACGTTCAAGAGTGTTGCGCAAACATCACATCTACAGGCCCATGTGACCACACAACACCATCGAGCAACTATTAGTTCCTCTCAAAGACAAATGGTAGAAGGAAGACATAACAGGGGTGGCCTACCAGACTCCATGTAACAGCTGCAACTCTACACACATCGGGGAAACTGGCCGGAAATGTGGGACCCACCTAAAAGAACATCAGAAAGACGTTGAAGCCATGAAGAAGCTAGTCTACACTAGAAATACAAGGAAGGCATCGGAGAAACAATGCAATAAATCAGCCATTACAGACCATGCTAACACATACAACCACATCATAGATCGAGACTGGAACAACTCGAAAGAGCTTAAAAGGGAGGACAACTAGAAAGTAAGGAAAATCAAAATATTCATCTGGGTTAGGAGGGAAAGGGATTGGATGAACAGAGACGAAGGGGGCTACCAGCTGAGTCATCTTTATTACCCCATTTTTACATCGTCTAAGGGGCGAAATAGTTAAACATATGTTACCCGTCCCCCTGAGTTGTTTCTTAAAAGCTCGCAAAATAAAGTTTCTATTCCGACTTATCTTGATTTTTCGTGAGTATGGACTTTCATTTACTTTATCACACTGTGAAATAGCAGGAAGACTCATATTTACTTTCTCGCAATGATAATCGCAATAGTGATTGTTTACACTTATAATTACGCTTTCTGAGATGTAAATCGTTGTTTGATTAGTCATTAAGGATAAGACAGTAGTGTTCAAGTGGGGGGATCCATATTGGTGCTGTAATACCTTAAGCTGATAAATGTATATTATAACATATCTGTTTCACACATTTTAAATATAAACATAATAAACTTATAAAAATAAAAGTTTGAAATGCTCCTAATCTTCAGTATTACAGCCGACCTAGTAGCTTCCAGAATCATCACATCACAAATATAAACCGATGTGTGTAGAGATTCAAAATGGTCGTTTACAGACAAAAATCAAAGGGCTGAAAATGACTGAGAGCCTCCTACTGTCGACACAACAATCGCTAAGCTTTTAATCGCAATCTGCTGGTACAGGCAACTTTTACTTGAGTGTGCTGGTGAAACAATCATGATAGTATATTGACATGATATTCAAAGTTAATACATTTTTAGACTTGTTCATAAATATTGATATAGACACATACTTCTACTTAACCAATGTTTAGGAGATGACAGCATATAGAGATGACGAAAACATGTAAACAAGTGGAATCTTTACCTAAAACCCAATATTAACAAAACTGTTGGCTCTTCTATGATTTTACTTTTGTACCTCAATGATTGACCCCTCAGGAAACTTCATGCCGAATATCACCATTCTGGTAGAAGTATTGATTGGTGTGGGCCTGTATAACCCAACTGCTTTCCAATGTTGCTGCACGTACATTTCACGTCTATGATCTTCAAATTAATAGATTCATTAAAAAATGGAAACAAGTTTTCAATCAAAAAAAGGTTTTAATGGAAAACATGTCAAATGTCCAACAGATTTAATACTTGGGCTGTTGCCTATTTATGGGATAAAGTAAAAAAAAAATGGCAACGAAATATTTTTAGAGTCGAAAAACCTGACTCTTAAAAAATGTTATTTTCAGATATCTCTGAAATAATGTGTTTTGAAAATTTTGGAAACTTTGCGCGGTGAACGACTTGTTAAACTTTTCAGACTGTGAACAACTTGACTCAGTTAATGATATCAACTTATTTAATAATACATCTGAATTTCAAAAACGTTCCACACAGTCACCGTACAAATGCAACTAGGAAAAACTAGCGTCAAAAATGCTGTGGAATAGTATTTCAATATGCTATCGTTACAACGAAGCTGAATCTATAGAAATGCCTTAAATGAAAATAAGTAAGATACTTGTTGTTGATTTCACATTCAGGTAAATTTTACTGTGTCAATTAATATAAGAATTCGAAATTTACTTGCATCTTATTTAATCTCCAGAACTTGTAATGTTAATGTAATAAAATATGAACATTCAAACTCAAAAATCGAAAAAAAATAGGTTAAAATAATTTAAAAAAAAAGGAAATATTTAAATGTGGACCATTACGATAACACCAGAATGAGACCATTTGTTTCGGAAGGGTAAGCGTCTTCTGCTTCATCGATAATACCTGCCATATAAATCTAGGTCAAATCCAACTAATGTCATGTTCTCAAGGCGAGAACTGGGGTAATAATGTAAAATATGAAGACCGATTCACCAACTTCATTCCTATGTAGAATAAACAGCAGGTTATATCATTTTCTTGGTCGTTTTTCCTACCATGTCAACTATTTGCACTAACTTAACCCTCAAATTGACATCACATAGTTATGGAAATCCTCTAAATTCACCATACAACATGTACGGGACAATCCTTTTATACACATTTTACATTCACTTATACAGTTGTAAGTAGTAATCCTAATAATATATTTAAACGCATTCACCCCTGAACTTTCATAATGAACTATTCCAACTTTTGAATTGGAAGAGTTCAAATGTGTCTTCAGGGGTGAATGAGTTAAAGTCCCATTATACTTAAGGATTAACTTGAATATATTTTTCATGTTATGGAGATATAACACAAAAAAAACGGAGTGTACTCTAAATAAACCGAAGCGGTTTATGATGAGAGTACACTCCGGTTTTTTGTGTTATAGCTCCATAACATGAAAAATATATTCAAGTTAATCCTTATAATTTAATCTACTATACATTATCCCTGTGGAAATCCACTTTTATTGATGGACTCTTTTCTCTTAGAAATTATTGCGCTGCTGTATCAGCCAATCAAAAGCGACGTTACAAACGGCGACGTCATTTTTTATGTTATGGACTGATAACAAAAATGTCTTGTTACAAGCAAAATGAAATTATTACATAGTATAACAAAACTAATAGTATAATCAAGGAATGACCAAGATTTTGTTTTGAAGATTTTTTGGCATAAACCGCTTCGCGGATTTATGCAAAGTGCACAATTATTTTTCGGTATATACCAAAACAAAATCTTGGGCATTCTGTATGAATTAATTTAAAAAAGTAGACAAACACGTTGTAAATGCACAGTTAAAAAGATTTATTTAATTTTTACATAAACTAAACAATTGCGCTAAAAAAAAGCTGCGTTGTAATTTTGCATTCTGAAGTGTAAAAAGTAGTTCCGTCATCAGTTGTTTTTCTTTTTAGGTATATACGATATATACGAAAAAAAGTATTATGGGGGAGATAGGCAAAATTAAAGTATAACAGATTCATTCATAAATATTCTTGGAGTATTACATTTCTTATTTGTCGACAGCTGCACGTGATGCTTTATTTCCCTGTTCTCGTTCTAGTTTTGACAGAGTTTCCAGTATGATTAATCATTACCCCAACCTAAAAAATATGTAATTTATTTCGAGCAGTTTCCATATATAACTTATAGTAAATGAAATTTGTAAGTATTTATATCTTATTTCCATTAATTACAGTACACCTCGAAAGGCATTTAGTGCATAAAATTTGCAAACAAAATCACGAACTGTTCTTGGCTGAGATAGTCAATATCTTGCAACCAGTCTCTATATAACTATATCGAAAAAATATAGCTTTGAATATAAACATATCCGATATTGTCTCTTCATTCTTTTACACACGGCTTTGTTTTTTTATGAGATAAAAGTAATAAGCACAATGTCACTTTTCCCCCAGATTATAATGCAATGTAGATAACTCATATGTAAGAAAAGATATCATAAGTCGGAAACATCTCCTTACTTGAGCTTGCGCAATCGTATTAGGATTGATTTCTTCTGAAAGTTTGTTTAACCAGAGACATATAAAGCCAAAAGTAGTATATTCGTCTTTGGTTTAACCTACAGTTAAAAAATAAATAAGATAAAAAAAAAACCTTCCTAAACATGGCATTACAGTGGTAGCTATATACATTACGAAGGTTTTATTATTATGTTGTTTTTTCTAATTAATCGGTTTTATAGTGCATTTTTTGTGTATTCGTTCATAAAAAAAACTTTAGTAACAGACGACGTGTTATTCGGAAATTTAATGACTTTATGAATTATTATTCTATAAACATTATGCTACACTAAGGAATGAAAAAGCTCCCTCTTTATTTCTGCTTCTCAGATAGTTACCTTATAGTATAAATATCAACCGATGTTTTTACCTTAATGTCCATAATTCCAAGTTTCTTTTTCTATCATATGTTTATAATCTCCTCGTCTCTAGATACTGCTATGTACTGTTATCTAAAACTTTTCTGTATTCTGCACAAACTTTCTACTTCTTCTTCTACTTCTACCGTTTGAATGTCATGTCATATATAGGTGTAGCGCTATGAAAAGAAAGGAACAGAACTTAATATTGATGAGCAGAGATAGATGATTTGAAGGACAGTATTGGATCAGAAGAAATGATTTGAGAAGGGAGTTTGTTCCAATCTTTGATAGTCCGAGGAAAGAATGGTTCCTTCCTTACAAACGTCCTGCACAAGATAGTTTGAAATGAGGTTTGATGACTATGCCTTGTTTGTCTGGTTATAGGGGTGAGATATTTAGTGGTAATGGCAACTTTATTATGATGGATTTTATAGAGCATGGTAAGCCTCGCGTCTTTCCTGCGATCTGCAAGACTACGCCCTTTTAGGTGTTCTAACATGTTGCCAACGCTGGAGGTGTTACGATAGCGGTTGGCAACGAAACGAGCAGCCCTGCGCTGTACCATCTCTAGCTTGTCTATATTTTTTTTAAAGTAAGGGTCCCATACTTGGCTAGCGTATTCAACCTGAGGGTGGACTAGGGACATAGGATGAAATTTTGAGATTGCGCCTCAGGAAGCCCAGAGTGGAATTGGCCTTTTTTGTGATATTATCGATATGAGTCCTCAACTTGAGATCAGAAGTAATGGTGACCCCAAGATATTTAGCCTCTGTCACATGCTCCAACTCGTGACCATGTAGTATGTAGGGATGACAGATGGGATGTCTATTCCTTGTGACAGAGAGGCCCTGGCATTTCTCAGGGTGGAAAGCCATCGGCCTCCATTTAGTCTCCCAAAGCGCCAGTTTCTCAAGATCTTTTTGTAGAGTGTGAGCGTCTCTCTGAGATGTAACTGTCAGATACATGATGGTATCATCTGCAAAGAGTCTGAAAGAAGATGTTATACCCTGATAAGCGGGTATTGGTATCTACAGTGATATTCAAGGTTTCATTTCCTCTGTACATTTTCTTAGCATCACATTTACGTTTAAACCAAGAAATGTTGGTATTTAATTTGTTTTCTACTTTTTGTTATTTTTTTAAACCGAATACATCCTTGGCTGACATGAATATCTGGCCCCAGTTTTTCCAAAGTAAAAATTGCTGCCTGAAGTTAAGGAAAATTCCCAAAACATCAAATTGTTCCTGAACTCCAGTAGGCTAATTAACAACTTGAAGATAAGGACTATAGAATTTCAGGCCGGTTTTAAATTCAAAATCTACGTATTTTCTTCCTGTTTAGGTCGTCTCTGACCTGAGATGAAGTTTCTGTCTGAGCGCTCAATAATTACTGCTTCCGTTTTATATAAAGGGCGGGAAATATTTAGGACTAAATTTAGGGTCGTCATGTGATTTGTCATGTGACCACAGTCTTTCAAAATGGCGAACGAGGTGATGGCAGGAATGGAGTCCAATGCGATAAATCCTGATATCGCGAGAGAAAGACTGAAGGCAACATTCGATCCTCTGGAATTGACTCATATTTTCGATGGCGGAAAAGAAAGGACTACTCGCCGAAAAGAACTGGGTAATATACTTTTCCTTTGGAACAATATGTCATGATGACCAACGTTCCCTGTAATGACCGTCCTGTAAGTTTTCTTCTCAGTTTCGACCCCATGTACACGATTTTAAAGTTTGTAGAGAGAGAATGAAGGTCTAAAATTGGAACACTTCTAATATTCTTTTGTTAATACAAAAAACATATATATTGTATTTCTGATGCAATATACCGTACAGCTACCTGACTACACATTTCCATATAAGGCATATTTACCTGTCAAGGGTCACGATCCAGCACGATTCTTGTAGACAGTCATACTGTAGGGTCCAAAGTCCATTACAAACTTTTTTTATCACAGCAATCAGCACCCATTGATTGATACATTTTAGAATGAGATAGAATAACCTTTCCTAATTGCTGCATTATGAAACAGGTTCATATCTCTTCAATGAACTTAAGATGTTCTTAAGGTTCAGCAAGCCCCCTAAAAGATGTAATACAAATGTAGTCACCCTAAATGTCAACCCCTTGGCAAGTCATATTCAAATACCCTTATCTTTTATTTAACAATCAAAAACTCATTTTTTAAGGGTTTTGCATTAAAATAGATATGCTAAAGATATCAGCAAACGCAATACCAATATTAATTGATAATCCAATAAAATATGACAGTTAGTCTACTAAATATAATCATATAAGTTGAACATTATTCATTACATAAAATCAGTCAAGATCTTATGATAAATGTAGATACCTTAGTATAGTTGACACAAATCCACTTAACTGACTATTTTCTAATTATGAATATTTGAAAATGCATTATATTTTCAAAGTCTTTAACATTCAATTATTTTTCCAAATAAGAAAAATGGGAGATGGGTCATAGGGTAATCTCTCGATTTGATGGTTTTAAAATGCAAAGAGGAGAAGAAAACAACAGAGCCAGACCGGGATTTGAATCCCGGGACCTCCAAATTCTAGATGGATGCTCTGACCAATTGAGCTACCTGTTCGCTGGCGATTGACCAAGTCAAGTTCCACTTCATATCTTCATACTTATTCTAGGTCTTCATCCCCAAAGACACCTTGTTTCCAACCCAGGATTGAGTATCCCCTTGTCAAGCAAACACCAAGTGCTTAAAACAATGGTTTGTTACAGGCACCACTAGTACTGTAACAGAAGAAGTAAAATACATGGCCTAACTGGGTTTTGAACCCAGAGCTTTCCAAATCTTAAACTCTTAACCAATTATGCTTTCTGGTCAAGGGTGATTGACCAAGTCCGGTTCCGTTACATTCCTCCCTCCTTTTTCAAAGTCTCTGTCTAAGAAAAAAAAAATCCATTCACAACCGAGGCTTGGTCATCCCATTGCCATTTGAACATCCAGAACTTGAAATTTCCCACTCAAACATTGCCTTAATTATTAGTGTGATGTTGACTTTCAGAGAACCTGCTGTTCAGTGATCCGTTGTTTTGTCTGCGTGACAACATATACCTATCAACATCAGACCTTTACTCCGCCACCATGGCCCGCTCAGTCAAACTCTTCCGCCTGAAGCAGGATCAGAAATGGAGCGAGGACGACTTGCTATTAGCACTGAGGTGATCACTGTAAAAAGTTTTAGAATGAATCTATGAATGAAATATCATTGTTGGAAGAAACGAACGAATGAAACAAACATAGAAGTAGAAAGAAAGAAAAAGAAAACCTGCTAAGACTAATCTATATTAGTAAGTTAGGACAAGGCCCTATTTCCGAACCTGTACTCCTGAATGAAATTGATTATAGTGGTATGAATGTATGTAGTTCCCAAAAGTCTTGCTATTTTATATGCAAGGAATATTAATATATGATTAGTTATTGTAATAACACCCTCGATTGTAATCTAAATCAGATCAGGCCCCGGAATCTCGAAACTTCTTAATTCTCAATTCTTAACATTCCATTCTTAAGCTAAGTACGTACTTAGCTGAGAATTTCTCAAATTGGTGTATCTCGAAGGCGTTCTTAAACATTTGAGAACGTACTTAACTAAGAATGTGTTTGTTGATACATAAGGGACCCTATTTGGAACTCTTTAATGAAAAAGGTAATATCAGTGTATGAAATACTTCGGGAATTAACTAGGATAGATACTCCCGCACTTCTTTTGCAGTGCATTGAAAACCATATTTAAGTTTTCAAGCTAAATTGTATATTAAAAAACAGTTGACACCATTTTTGTTGTTATGACAGACATATTATTGAATGTTAGAGATTAAAAGAAAATATTGAATAATTATCCTAAACTGATTAAATTTATTTATGACGATTCATTAGAACCATGACTGGACACTTTTTATACAATGGTATTGTTCATATGTTCAGATATGAATTCAATAGAGCGATGAAAAAAGGTGATAAATATGTACGCACGGAACAAAACACCCCCTTACCCATTACACCACCACCACTCCCCATGGGAGGGGATAAAAAAAGGTTCCACACTTCAAATGAAAATGTCTGGTACAGAAGCCTATTGGGTTAAATTTGAAGAAAAAAAGTCATTTTAACGTGTTCACTATAATGTTAAAATTAGGGTTGTCAAACCAGACAAATTTACTAACCGGTTACTCGAAAAATCTTCTGACCGAGTAACCGGTTAATCGGTCAGTTCGGTAATCAAACAATTAACAACAATAACTACAATTTATGTAATGCTTCTCTCATTAACAAAGCAATGACCTAGTTTTAAATGTGTGGAACGATATTAACAGGTTGTAACGAGATTGCTAATGTAATAAGAAATGCTATGACATTAATTGTTGCATTTACAACATTTCCTTTAAGAAATATTTCCTGGGTAAGAAATATTTGAGGAAAGGTGCCTATCATTATGCATGTATTCGCGATATGAAAATTTTACACTCGGGTGGGGTCAGAACCTGCCCCAAATCCTCTGGTAAAATTTTCCTTTTCCCCATAACCGAATAGGCCATATCAGTTATTTGCCAATGTCTGATTTTATGGTCATCCTGTGATAGAAGACTGTATTGAATGGCCCCAAATGCTGGTTTTCTAATTATATCCAAAGTGTTGGCTAATTATAAATAAATAAATAAATAAATGAAAAATAACGATAAACACTGTGCCTTTCGTCTCCTTTCTCATTTCTAGCGGCTGAATTTCATGACTTATAAGACAATTACAGTTGGCCATTTTGTGTATTTAAGCACGTTCTTAAATATATAAGCATGCTCCTTACCATTCTCAAATATTGAGCCCGTTCTCAACTTAAAAATTGAGAATGCATACTTAAGAACCTTTGAGATAAACTTTTTTTAAGTATATGCTTAAAGTTAAGCATATGCTTAAAGTTAAGAATTGAGAATGGTTTAAGAACCTTTGAGATACATTTTTTTAAGTATATGCTTAAAGTTAAGCATATGCTTAAGGTTAAGCACTAAGAATGGGTTTAAGAAGTTTCGAGATTCCGGGGCCAGGTCTGACACTGATTTATATGCAGCACAGAGTTAGATGATATTTGCAATTCAAACTGAAATTTGCTCAATGAACGTTTGTACAGTAATACATCAACTAGAGCTCACCTAGATTTATTTCCTCAAAACTGGAACAAAAAAGAAAGCTATAGGGTCATTCAGTTGTCTCAGAATTACAATGTGGTTTCATTTAATTTCTGTACAGGTTAATCCGTGACCAGAACTGCTTGTCACTTCATCATTCTATGTTCTTGCCTGCGTTGGAGAGGTTAGCCTCAGACGACCAAAAGGCCCGATGGCTGCCACTTGCCAGGAGGTACCATATGGTTGGCACCTACGCTCAGACAGAATTAGGACATGGTAAACTGGTTTATTGACTGTTGTCTTTATGCATGTGTAACAGTATAACTAGATTGATTTTGACAGATTTAACAATAAATACCAGTTAGAAGGGTTAAAGTGGTGTGAAGTCAATTATCTAGAATGGAAATAAAGTTTAAAGTTAATATAATTAGTGCCCCATATCGGAGATACGGGTGCCCTCTAGAAATCACTTTCTGTCTGTCTGTCTGTCCGTCCACAAATTTTGTTCCTGGCTAATAACTTTGGTATTAATAGACCGATTTACATGAAACTTGGTCAAGATGTTCAGTTCACAAAAATACACACTCAGGTAAAAAGTCAAGGTCAAAGGTCAAGGTTCAAAGGTCCAGGTCAAATTTTGCATCTTTTCACTGATGAACATTTTGTTATGACATGATGAAGCAAAGTTGATCAGAATTAAACAAGGAGTTAACTGACCGAAGGTCAAGGTCATCGGGTCAGAGGTCTAGGTCAAAGGTCAAGGTCAAATTTTGTAGCTTTTCACTAATGAGCATTTTATGAAATTATGAAGCAAAGTTGGTCGAAATTAAACAAAGAGACACTGAGGTAAAAAGTCGAGGTCAAAGGTCAAGGTCATAAGGTTCAAAGGTCAAGGTCTATTTTTGCATTTTTTCACTGATGAACATTTTGTTATGACACTATGAAGTAATACTGGTCAGAATTAAATAAGGAGTCAACTGAACAAAGGTCAAGGTCATTGGATCAAAGGTCAAGGTTAAATATTGTATCTTTCCACTGGTGAATATTTCTTTATGATGCTTTGAAGCAATGTTGCTTAGAATTAAACAAGGAGTCAATTAACCAAAGGTCAAAGGTCAAGGTCAAATTTTATATCTTTTCCCTGATGAACATTTTGTTATGACATTATGAAGCAAAGTTGGTCGGAATTCCACAAAGAGTCAACTGACTTATGGTCAAAGTCAGTAGTTCAAGGTCAAATTTAGTATCATTTCACTAATGAACATATTTGTTATGACACTATGAAGCAATGTTGGTCAGAATTAAACAAGGATCCAACAGACCAGAGGTCAAGGTCACTGGGTCAAAGGTCAAGGTCAAATTTAGTATCTTTTCCCTGATGAACATTTTTTTATGACACTATGAAGCAATGTTGGTCAGAATTAAACAAGGAGTCAACTGACCAAAGGTCTAGGTGACTGGGTCAATGTCAAGGTCAAATATTGAATCTTTTTACTGACGAACATTATTTTTATGTTATTATGAAGCAAAGTTGTTCAGAACATAACACCGAGTCAAATGACCTAAGGTCAAGGTTACGGGGTCCAAAGGTTCAAGGTCAAGGCCAAGTTTTGTATTTTTCACTGATGAACATTTTGTAATGATATTATGAAGCAAAGTTGGTCGGAATCAAAGAATAAGTCAACTGACCAAAGATCAGGGTCACTGGGTTAAAGGTCAAGGTCATTTGGGTCCAAAGGTCAAAAACAAAGTGGATCTCTGTCTTTGACCCTGGCTCTTGATGGAGGAGGTATTTAAAGTGAAATAAAACATATCAAAGCTTATAAATGAGTATTGCACCAGTATTTACATTTCTGTTAGCCTAGCAAATAAAGAGGTGGAAGGAAACAAGACTCACATCATAGTACATGTTAAATGTATATTTTGCTTCCTTGCGATTCTTTTTGAAGTCCAAATATCAGACGTGAAGCTCAGCTATATGGGCAGATTGCTTCTTTATGATTATGGCGGATATATTGCCACAAGACGGGGCCCTCACTGACCTGTCTGTGTTCTAGTTTTGTATGTCTGCAAAGTAAATTTTCTGAAAAAATAGTGATAAGTGTCTAACCCTGTATAATTCTTTTTAAATTGCTTTAAATTTGATAACAATAGAAGCACTGTTTAGTATTACCAGATTGTCTATGAGCATGCTCATCTTTTGTCCATACTTTCTGTCTTGAGGAACGAATCTGATGGAGTTGGAGACTACAGCCACGTACGATAAAGCTACAGATGAGTTTGTCTTGAGTACACCCAAGCTGTCCTCAATTAAGTGGTGGCCTGGCTCCTGTAAGTACATCCTGTTGGATCTGTTAAGTGATCATTAGATATTGGTTTATATTAATGTTTGCTTTGCATTGCCAGTGTATAAACCTCATTTGTGTGTAACAAGGCCATTAGTTTGATGTGATGATTGTGATGTCATTATGGAATACATTGACGATCACTGGTGTGTGCTGACTGATACTTAGGTATCATTGGATTGTTGAAATAAATAAAAACTGTACCATTTGAGGGACAGACCTATGTAGGGCTGATAAGCAGGACTAGAAAGGGATGTTGATATGCTTTAACTTGGAAACGGTTGAGATTGCTACCCTGTCCTAGGTAACCATATACATTGTACCTGACGAACAAAATCATGCTACCAGAATTGACTCGAGGGTCCGGCTCTGCCCCTGAGGATTTATAACTTTGGTTAAATAATAAAAATGGTCAAGATGATCACCCTAACCATACACAATAATGGATTTTAAACAAAATTTCTTACGGAGCATTTTCGAGCCCTGGGAAATCAATTATTGAGAAAAGGAAGGGTGTTGATCCCCTGAGAGCTGAGCCCATAATGGGGGTAATTTGGGCATTTTGGTACAGTCTTTACAAGCCTACTCCTCCTGAACAGTTGATGATATTATAATCATCCTTGGGTATAAAGAATCAATTGTTATATAAATGAAGAGAATTCTCTCTCTACAATTGGCACATCTAATGTTTACCCATGTTTCTACTGTAAGTCCACATGTGTTTCCTTGTTGTGTTAATGGACAGTGTTTAGACTTCTATCTAACTATCTAACTTGTTTCAATATTATAGTGGGAAAAACCAGCAACCATGCCATTGTGCTTGCTCAGCTGGTTGTGGACAGCAAGAAATGTGGCATGCATCCGTTCATGGTACAGATCAGGAGTTTGGTGGACCACACACCAATGCCAGGTAGGTAGCACTGGATAGTCCTATGGAATTCATTCCATTAATCAATTTTAAAAATGTATTTAGGTAAGGTGAAAAAATGTTCCCTTAGAGCCTTGGGATAGACTTCCAAGCAATCACCCCTCCAGATGGAGATTTCTCTGCCATACCCTGTAACACCCTCAAGGTAGGGTATGCTTATTATTCTCCCATCTCTTTCACTGTATTCCGTCTTTGCGTATTGCAGAGTTATCTTCTCTTAGGAGCAGGTGTTGATTGTTACGTCATTGGTTTGTTTCAGAAAATTATGTCGTTTTCTCAAAAATTGATGACGTTACTCTCACAAACAAGTAACGTAACAATCAATACCTGCTCCCAAGAGAAGATAACTCTGCAATACGCAAAGACGAAATATGTCTGGCATGGACGTGTCATTAATTGTTGTCGTCTGCTTCCGTCATTCATAACTCGGTTGTAGTGGCTCTTGCCCATTTTTTCTACAGAGGTTCTAAATAAGGGAAATATGATCAGGGAACTCAAGTCTGTGAGGGCGAGATGATGTTTTATTACCCTGTCATGTGATCAATGTTACCCAATCAGACACGCTGTGATAAAGGTGAGGTATAATACGTCAGTTTTGTGACCTGTAACTTCCCGTCATGTAGTGATTGTTGTGTTGTAGGTATCAAGTTGGGTGTGATTGGACAGAAGATGGGAAGTAATCATAACGACAATGGCTTCCTCTTCCTCAACAATGTCAGGATCCCACGAGAAAACATGCTGATGAAGAATGCACAGGTACAGTATAACACCAACGACATACCTGATGTCACACCTGGGCCCGTATTCATGAAACCGTTCTCGTGCTAAAGCATGGATTCTGTGCTAAAACCAATTTTCTTGTAAGTCGCTTAAATCTTGCCAAACAATCAAAAAGTCAAATGTAAACATTGAGAACAGTATTTGGCTTTAAGTCTCTTAATTTTCTCCCAAAATCATTGACAAAATAAGATATCTTTATAAATTTATAATGGGAACAAAAAATTAGGCTTGAGCATAAAATCCATGCTTGAGCATGAGAACGATTTCATGTATTCATGAAACCGTTCTAATGCTCAAAGTCTAATTGTGTGCTCAAGCCCAATTTCTTATTCCAGTGATAAATTTAAGAAAAATGACATTTTGTCAATGATCTGGAAGAATTGGGGAGAGTCTTAGGGATGAATACCATTTTCTATGTGTAAACTTGACGTTTGACCGTGTAACATGATTTTAAACCAGCGGCAAGAAAGTAGCTTTGAGCACAGAATCCATGCTTGAGCATGAGAACGGTTTCGTGACTACGGGCCCTGGTCTTGACTTTCATGATCAGGGGTGTACAATTTTGGGGAATTCCAGTAGCCTATGCCTAGGGCTAGTAGATTTTATGTCAGGGGTAGTGAACATTTTCAATATTTGCTTGGAGGATATAGCTTGGGCTAGTAGAAATTTGCAAACTTTGCCTGCTGGCTAGTACTCAAAAATATAATTGTACACCCTTGGTAATTTACATGATCCCCATAGTTCCTAGTTATTCCTGCTTCAGAGTCTGATGGATTCAAGCTATTTTTAAATGAATTATCAGTTTTTCATGAAACTTGCCCGGTTTTCTTTTTACCAATGCCCCTCATTCAAACTTGTTGCCAAAACAACTTTGGAAATATTTAATGAAGCTGCTTTTATTTGATAAATAAACAATGGAAATGTCTAATATTGTATTCTTCCAACACGGGTAAATCAATAAGACATCATTCAACCTTAGCTGGTCAGGTAACCATCCACTTTCATGGAATTCTCGTTTACAGGTAACACGAGCGGGAAAGTTCCTGACCTCTGGCCCAAACAAGGCTAACTACGCGACCATGATCTATGTGCGGGTGATGATCTTGAGCTGGTCCTTTGGTGCTATCTCTGCTGCTGCAACTGCAGCCATCCGGTACAGCAGTGTCCGCCGCCAGTCTTCACTAGCGCCAGGGTCAGCATTAACGAGATATGTCAAATTAAACTGTAAGGCATTTTTGGGGGAATACAGTAAAAGTGAAAATTTCTGCTGTGCGGAAATGCTTATGTGGGTTTTTTTTGCGTTGAGTAAATTAGCTCGAAAATATCCACACACAAATATTTAAGTACCGGTACAGATTATAGATATATAGAATACATCAATTTTAGAACTATTGCAAGCATAAAAATTTCCATACAGTAATTAGTTTTAAGGATCATAATATTTCCACGCATGAAAATTTCCTCATTTTCAGTATAGATATTTTGTAAAGCTTTGGAGAACTATCTCATGGTATCAGTCTTATGAGGGTGAATGAGGAAAAATTTATTGTCTAGCTGTTTGATACATCACCAGTAGGATTGAAAAATATATGTTCATAAAATATAAAAAAAAAAAAAAAAAAAAAAAAAAAAAAGCATACAGTTTTCTGTGAACTGTCTTAACATATTTGTTGGCAGATAGAGTCAAGATTTATTTATAGATAGTCTTACTCTTTGTCATGAAAGTGTTACATTAACTAATTGCTGTTGCTGCAGATCTCTGCAAGACAATCACTGTTTTGTGTTTCACTGATAAATATTTGAAAAGGAAATTAAGATTAAAGTTATAGAGAAGCATCTCGATTGACACTAATTACATTATTCAGAGCCATATACAGAGTTACATATTTGGCACTGATAGACTAGGCCTTAGTGTACATTTGTATAAACTGTGAAATGAGATATTTTTGTGGTGCCCAAATTTTGTGGTTTCCTGCCGACAAAACACCATTTGGTGGGTACTTGAATTTTTGTGGGCTATGAGCACCTACTCAAACGGAGAAAGCTTAATATCAAACTTGTAATTACTTTGTGGACCTATGAAATCGTGGATGAAGATAACATGCATAATAAACGAAATTTAAAAAACCCTCAAAAATTAGTAATTTCAAAGTATGTTACAGTATGATATGTATGGAACAATAAGTTATGTACAGTGATATGTGCTACAGTATATATATCTTTATATTTGTGACACAGACAGGAGGAGAGCCAGGTTCTGGATTACCAGACCCAGCAGTACAAGTTGTTCCCTACCCTAGCGAGTGGTTATGGATTTTTCTTCATACATAAGGTCCTATCTGCCAAGTACAAGGCCATGTTGGTCGACATGCAGAGCGGCAACTCCAAGGCTCTTCCTGAGGTACGTAGTGATTGACAGGACAAATGTGACAAATACCCGGCTCTGTCACTATATATAGCTAGTTTATATTGAAAATTTTCTCTAACCCTAGCAATAAATCTACCATGTCAAGCTGGTGTGATTTTCCATCCCTGATATTGATTTATACTGTGAAATCACTAATTTTCGTGTTTTTTATTTTGTTTTTATTTCATTGATTTCGTAGGTAATTTTCATCCACCAATTCATAGATCCAGAAAGTAATTACAGGTTTGATATAAAACAATTCTCCATTTGAGTGGGTACTCAGGTAATCCACAAATTTATGTTCCCACGAAATGGTGTTTTGTCGGGAAACCACGAAAGGATTTGGCCCCCAAGAAATTTTATGATTACACAGTATTGCACTAGTATTATACAGTAGTACCAAACTATTGTGATAAACCATTACATATACAATGTAATACTTTATTACTGGTCTGAGCATATAACTTGATTTATTATCCTCATTTACATGAATTAGCATGCTAAAATTCTGTGGGCCGTGGTGGCCAAGTGGTGAAGGTGTCTGACTTTCTGCTACCACTAGCCCTCCACCACTTGGTCACGGATTCAGTTGCCAGGTACTGGCCGTAGGTCGGTGGTTTTTCTCCGGGCACTCCGGCTTTCCTCCACCACCAAAACCTGGCACGTCCTTAACTCATTCACCCCTGAAGACGCATTCGACCTCCTCAGATTCAAAGGTTGAAAAAGTTAATTATGAAATTTCAGGGGTGAATGAGTTAAATGACCATAGCTGTTAACAGGACATATAACACAAACAGACCAAATGTAATTCAGTCGTTCAACTTTGTCTATCACCAGAACATTCCTCTATAAGGTATAAACATTCCTCTATTAGGTATAAACATTCCTCTATTAGGTATAAACATTCCTCTATAAGGTATAAACATTCCTCTATAAGGTATAAATATTCCTCTATTAGGTATAATCATTCCTCTATTAGGTATAAACATTCCTCTATTAGGTATAAACATTCCTCTATTAGGTATAAACATTCCTCTATTAGGTATAATCATTCCTCTGTTAGGTATAAACATTCCTCTATTTGGTATAATCATTCCTCTATTAGGTATAAACATTCCTCTATTAGGTATAATAATTCCTCTATGAGGTATAAACATTCCTCTATTAGGTATAATCATTCCTCTATTTGGTATAAGCATTCCTCTATTAGGTATAATCATTCCTCTATTAGGTATAATCATTCCTCTATTAGGTATAAACATTCCTCTATTAGGTATAAACATTCCTCTATTAGGTATAAACATTCCTCTATGAGGTATAATCATTCCTCTATTTGGTATAATCATTCCTCTATTAGGTAAAAACATTCCTCTATTAGGTATAAATATTCCTCTATTAGGTATAAACATTCCTCTATTAGGTATAAACATTCCTCTATAAGGTATAATCATTCCTCTATTAGGTATAAACATCCCTCTATTAGGTATAAACATTCCTCTATTAGGTATAAACATTCCTCTATTAGGTATAAACATTCCTCTATTAGGTATAAACATTCCTCTATTAGGTATAAACATTCCTCTATTAGGTATAAACATTCCTCTATTAGGTATAAACATTCCTCTATTAGGTATAAACATTCCTCTATTAGGTATAAACATTCCTCTATTAGGTATAAACATTCCTCTATTAGGTATAAACATTCCTCTATTAGGTATAAACATTCCTCTATTAGGTATAAACATTCCTCTATTAGGTATAAACATTCCTCTATTAGGTATAAACATTCCTCTATTAGGTATAAACATTCCTCTATTAGGTATAAACATTCCTCTATTAGGTATAAACATTCCTCTATTAGGTATAAACATTCCTCTATTAGGTATAAACATTCCTCTATTAGGTATAAACATTCCTCTATTAGGTATAAACATTCCTCTATTAGGTATAAACATTCCTCTATTAGGTATAAACATTCCTCTATTAGGTATAAACATTCCTCTATTAGGTATAAACATTCCTCTATTAGGTATAAACATTCCTCTATTAGGTATAATCATTCCTCTATTAGGTATAAACATTCCTCTATTAGGTATAAACATTCCTCTATTAGGGATAATCATTCCTCTATTAGGTATAAACATTCCTCTATTAGGTATAATCATTCCTCTGTTAGGGATAACATGATTTTCCTATGTTGTTTCAAAGATGCATGCCTGGTCATCTGGAATGAAGGCATTGATAACAGACATAACAACATACAACATGGAGATCTGTCGTCGGTCGTGCGGTGGTCATGGCTACCTGCGAGCCTCGGGGCTCTCCGACATGGTTTGCGAGGCTTTTCCACTTGCTACTGTGGAGGGGGAGAACACAGTGCTTTACCTACAGGTGGCCAGGTATTGTCCAGAATCATATTTAATCAAATATTTAAAATTTACTCATTCAGAATCAACCGTTTTAAATTCAACTGATTCGAACTCTGACGACTCACCTGATTAAACTTTAGCTGAGTATTATTCCAAACAAAAGCAATGGATTCAAAATAAATTATTCAAAAACAAATATACTGATTGAAAATAAGATATGAGTCAATTTAGATTCAGATATTGGAAAACGATGGACTCAAAATTAAATAAGTTGGAATTCAAATGACTGAAAAAGACAATTGATTCTACAGCAACCAATTGAAAACAAATTAAACTGATACAATATCAGATATTAGCAAACTGAAATCAAATATTCAAACACAACTGCGTCAAAATCATATAAAATCATAAGTGAAATGATTTAAGATCAACTAGTACAAAGACAGTATTAATTCAATTCCGGGTTGATAAACTTGGTGTGCCAATATCTCCTTTTTGATAGGGTATGAACAATGTATTTTCTAAAGACAGAAATTACAATTATCCTATTGATATGTCATTGTGATATTGTTTTGACTGTTTACTGATATACAGCAGAAACTGTCTTTATACCAACAAGTTAGTCAGATTTCACTGTAAAACTTTCTTAAAAATTGTCCTTGTTTTTCAAGATACCTGCTGAAACAGATTGCCAAGGCATTGACCGGGCAGCAGACCACGGGAACAACCGAGTACCTGACCATGAATGAAGCTTCCTATATTTGTCCTCTACAAAAGCCTGTAGACTGTAGGAATCCAGACTTCTTATGTGAAGTATATAAGAAAAGGGCATACAGGTATGACATTATTCTCTCTCATACAGGTATGATATTGTCGTGAATTTGGAGTGTGGTTACACACCGTCACAACATGTAGTTGAAATCTATAAGACTATGCGGAGAAAATCACTCGCGTGTTATCAGTTTGATGTCGGGATGTGAAGAGACCGCGCTGATATGTCACATGGATGTTGTCAGCGCGGTTAGCAGTCTAAGGGAGATAACTCACCTCATACAGGTATGATATCGGTATAATAGTATTCCCTCTCATACAGGTATGATATCGGTATAATAGTATTCCCTCTCATACAGGTATGATACCATTTTCTCTCTCTTACAGGTATATTAGTATTCCCTCTTATGCAGGTATGATATAATTCTCTCTCATACAGGTATAATAGTAATCCCTCTCATACAGGTATAATAGTATTCCCTCTCATACAGGTATGATGTAATTCTCTGTTATACAGTTATGATGTCATTCTCTCTCATACAGGTATATCATTCTCGGTCATACAGGTATGATATAATTCTCTGTCTTACAGGTATAATATTATTCTCTCTCATACAGGTATAATATAATTCTCTGTCATACAGGTATATTATTCTCTGTCATACAGGTATATCATTCTCTGTCATACAGGTATATCATTCTCTGTCTTACAGGTATAATATAATTCTCTGTCATACAGGTATATCATTATCTGTCATACAGGTATATCATTATTTGTCATAGAGGTAAATAATTCTCTGTCATATAGGTATATCATTCTCTGTCATACAAGTATATAATTCTCTGTCTTACAGGTATATCATTATCTGTCATACAGGTATATCATTATTTGTCATACAGGTATATCATTCTCTGTCATACAGGTATATCATTCTCTGTCATACAGGTATATAACTCTCTGTCATACAGGTATATCATTCCAAGTATATCATTCTCCATCATACAGGTATATAATTCTCGTCTTACAGATATAATATCATTCTCTCTCATACAGGTATATCATTCTCTGTCATACAATTATATCATTCTCTCTCATACAGGTATAATATAATTCTCTCTCATACAGGTATATCATTCTCTGTCATATATCTCTGATATTGTTTGGTGGTTTGACAGATCCCCATTTAGAATGCAAAATTTAAAACGATTAATTATATAAGTAAAAAAATAATATTCATTGAATTTTTTCATCTTCATCAAACTTCTTGAGTGTATGAAATTAACAAACCATTCATTGGAATAGTTTAGCCTTGCCAAAATTTGGCGTTTTTTGCTCGAAATGGGTTAGTTAAAGTTTGGTACATCAAATTTTCGTTTCTGATGATCCTGTGTGCTATAATTTGGAGCTTTCTGATGCCTTTAGTCGCTCCATCAGTCCATTGTGTTACAGTAGTCGTGCAGCAAGATATGAAAGATTTCAATCCTCTATAGCTTTTGTTTACCCAGGTATTGTACTGAAAACATGTCAGTTATTTTCAGATTCCATAGATCTACATGTATATACAGCCATTTGTATTTCGTTGCACCCTGGCATCAGTCACATTAACAGGAGAACACATATTTACAACGACATTTATCTGTATACCCTTGAACACAACTAAAACAAGAACGGATATGAAAACATTGAAAAGTTATGACAACTTCAGATGAAAATACCTTTATTGACATCTTATAACAAAAAATTATACCTTTTTCGCTTAAGCAAAAAAAACCACCAACAGTCGCTTAAGTGAAAAAAACCCACCAACAACATGGAAGTCACTTTTTGGTGCATGATAAATGGAGTAGTAAGACAGTCATCAGAAATCTGGAGGTAGCAGTGACATATGTTTGGCATTGTGAAATTTGTTTTTATTTTGGCTCAGTCACTCCAAGCACCAAATCAACCAAAATAAAAGACATAAAAAATATTGAAAAGTACAGTAAGTTGTCTGGTTTGGAGGTGTAGACAAGCACCCACTCAGAATAACGGGAGTCAGACTGGTTTATAATAGTTATACGACTAATTAGCTGCCAAGCTGTAATTTTCAAGCATACCCGGTATGCAACAGGAGAAAGAGAAATGCAATGGCCGGACCGGGGTTTGAACTTGGGACCCTCTGGACTGTAGATGGATGCTCTACCAATTGAGCTATCTGGTCGCCAATGATTGACTCTGTCCAGTTCCGCTACACATATAATTGAATGCAAAAATTAAAAGACATAATTTTTCTCAACCAGAATTTGAAGATAAAATCACAGTAATTTCCTACTTTATAATAGTATTTCAAACAGTACATGAAAAATTATTGAATATCATAATGTTACACAACTTTCTTTTAAAAACTTTTCCAGAATGGTTTTAAAAGTTGCTCAAGCGTTACAGCGAGACATGGAGTCTGGGAAGGAGCAGGCCGTGTACATGAACAACAATCTCCAACCTCTGGTCAGGATGGCAACGGTCAGTAATGTTTTAAGCAATGGTCAACATTATATAGTATTTGTGCATCTAATTACACATATGGGAAATGTATTACAATACTCTAGTGTCTGAGTGGTTAAGGCGTCTGACCCTCTTTGATCTCTAGCCTTCTGCAACTGGGTCACAGGTTTGAGGTCTATGTGCATGGGGCAGTTGCCAGGTACTGGCCATTGGGCACTCTAGTTTTCCTCCACCACCAAATCCTGGCAAGTCCTTGAATGACCATATAAACCTGTTAATAGAACATAAAACACAAACAATATAAGAATGTCTGATTTATAATTACACACTTACTAAATCAGAAACAATTTCAGATAAAAATATCTTGCAGTGAAATGCATTTGATGCAACAGTTCGATACAGCAGATGCACAAATTACTCGAAGCCCAGATTATGACGCAGACGGCTGGGGTTCGATCCCAGAAGTTGTTGTATGCATGGATATTCAGAGAAAGTGTTTTTCTCCTGCCCACACAACTCCAACAACCCAGGTGGAGTATACATTGGTCTGGGATGGATGTTGCGGTATCTGTGCTGTAGCATTCAAGTGAGGTGGCACTATAAATGATGTCAATGGAAGCACAATCCCAGTACAAACAGAACACATTACATCTCCAGCACGCACGCAGGCATACACACATAGGGAGATATTAGCCAGGTGGCATAGGACTAGTAGCTAGCGCCTGATAAGGTAGGTCCTGCGAATTCTTCAAAATTGTGTAGAATTAACGTATATGCAAATTGTATTAATTGTATATCTATGTACATGTACTGTAAAGCACTTTAGAGTGGTTTATGTTAGCTAGATAGGGCGTTATATCAAATGTTGTATATTATTAACATTAATCGTTTTTCTATATACAGGCCCACTGTTACTACCTGGCCATGAGGAGCTATATAGAAGGCCTTGCCAGTTTACAAGTCAGTCCTCCAGCAAGGAAGATTCTGGACAAGCTGTGCTGTCTATTTGGAGTCCACTACATCGTCACTCTGTCCGGGGATTTCCTGGAGGTAATATTATCACACTCTGTCAGGGGACTTCCTGGAGGTAATATTATCACACTCTGTCCGGGGTCTTCCTGGAGGTAATATTATCACACTCTGTCCGGGACTTCCTGGAGGTAATATTATTACACTCTGTCAGGGGACTTCCTGGAGGTAATATTATCACACTCTGTCCGGGGACTTCCATGAGGTAATATTATCACACTCTGTCCGGGACTTCCTGGAGGTAATATTATCACACTCTGTCCTGGGACTTCCTGGAGATAATATTATCACACTCTGTCCGGGGACTTCCTGGAGGTAACATTATTACACTCTGTCCGGGGACTTCCTGGAGGTAATATTATCACACTCTGTCCGGGGACTTCCTGGAGGTAGTACTATTACACTCTGTCCAGGGACTTCCAGAGGGAATATTATCACACTCTGTCCGGGACTTCCTGGAGGTAATATTATCACACTCTGTCCTGGGACTTCCTGGAGATAATATTATCACACTCTGTCCAGGGACTTCCTGGAGGTAACATTATTACACTCTGTCCGGGGACTTCCTGGAGGTAATATTATCACACTCTGTCCGGGGACTTCCTGGAGGTAATATTATCACACTCTGTCCGGGGACTTCCTGGAGGTAATATTATCACACTCTGTCTGGGGACTTCCTGGAGGTAATATTATCACACTCTGTCCGGGGACTTCCTGGAGGTAATATTATCACACTCTGTCCGGGGACTTCCTGGAGGTAATATTATCACACTCTGTCCGGGGACTTCCTGGAGGTAATATTATCACACTCTGTCCGGGGACTTCCTGGAGGTAATATTATCACACTCTGTCCGGGGACTTCCTGGAGGTAATATTATCACACTCTGTCCGGGGACTTCCTGGAGGTAATATTATCACACTCTGTCCGGGGACTTCCTGGAGGTAATATTATCACACTCTGTCCGGGGACTTCCTGGAGGTAATATTATCACACTCTGTCCGGGGACTTCCTGGAGGTAATATTATCACACTCTGTCCGGGGACTTCCTGGAGGTAATATTATCACACTCTGTCCGGGGACTTCCTGGAGGTAATATTATCACACTCTGTCCGGGGACTTCCTGGAGGTAATATTATCACACTCTGTCCGGGGACTTCCTGGAGGTAATATTATCACACTCTGTCCGGGGACTTCCTGGAGGTAATATTATCACACTCTGTCCGGGGACTTCCTGGAGGTAATATTATTACACTCTGTCCAGGGACTTCCTGGAGGTAATATTATCACACTCTGTCCGGGGACTTCCTGGAGGTAATATTATCACACTCTGTCCGGGGACTTCCTGGAGGTAATATTATCACACTCTGTCCGGGGACTTCCTGGAGGTAATATTATCACACTCTGTCCGGGGACTTCCTGGAGGTAATATTATCACACTCTGTCCGGGGACTTCCTGGAGGTAATATTATCACACTCTGTCCGGGGACTTCCTGGAGGTAATATTATCACACTCTGTCCGGGGACTTCCTGGAGGTAATATTATCACACTCTGTCCGGGGACTTCCTGGAGGTAATATTATCACACTCTGTCCGGGGACTTCCTGGAGGTAATATTATCACACTCTGTCCGGGGACTTCCTGGAGGTAATATTATCACACTCTGTCCGGGGACTTCCTGGAGGTAATATTATCACACTCTGTCCGGGGACTTCCTGGAGGTAATATTATCACACTCTGTCCGGGGACTTCCTGGAGGTAATATTATTACACTCTGTCCGGGGACTTCCTGGAGGTAATATTATCACACTCTGTCCGGGGACTTCCTGGAGGTAATATTATCACACTCTGTCCGGGGACTTCCTGGAGGTAATATTATTACACTCTGTCCGGGGACTTCCTGGAGGTAATATTATCACACTCTGTCCGGGGACTTCCTGGAGGTAATATTATCACACTCTGTCCGGGGACTTCCTGGAGGTAATATTATCACACTCTGTCCGGGGACTTCCTGGAGGTAATATTATCACACTCTGTCCGGGGACTTCCTGGAGGTAATATTATCACACTCTGTCCGGGGACTTCCTGGAGGTAATATTATCACACTCTGTCCGGGGACTTCCTGGAGGTAATATTATCACACTCTGTCCGGGGACTTCCTGGAGGTAATATTATTACACTCTGTCCAGGGACTTCCTGGAGGTAGTACTATTACACTCTGTCCGGGGACTTCCTGGAGGTAATATTATCACACTCTGTCCGGGGACTTCCTGGAGGTAATATTATCACACTCTGTCCGGGGACTTCCTGGAGGTAATATTATCACACTCTGTCCGGGGACTTCCTGGAGGTAATATTATCACACTCTGTCCGGGGACTTCCTGGAGGTAATATTATCACACTCTGTCCGGGGACTTCCTGGAGGTAATATTATCACACTCTGTCCGGGGACTTCCTGGAGGTAATATTATCACACTCTGTCCGGGGACTTCCTGGAGGTAATATTATCACACTCTGTCCGGGGACTTCCTGGAGGTAATATTATCACACTCTGTCCGGGGACTTCCTGGAGGTAATATTATCACACTCTGTCCGGGGACTTCCTGGAGGTAATATTATCACACTCTGTCCGGGGACTTCCTGGAGGTAATATTATCACACTCTGTCCGGGGACTTCCTGGAGGTAATATTATCACACTCTGTCCGGGGACTTCCTGGAGGTAATATTATTACACTCTGTCCAGGGACTTCCTGGAGGTAATATTATCACACTCTGTCCGGGGACTTCCTGGAGGTAATATTATCACACTCTGTCTGGGGACTTCCTGGAGGTTATATTATCACACTCTGTCCGGGGACTTCCTGGAGGTAATATAATCACACTCTGTCTGGGGACTTCTTGGAGGTAGTATTATCACACTCTGTCTGGAAACTTCCAGGAGGTAATATTATCACACTCTGTCCGAGGTCTTACTGGAGGTAATATTATCACACTATGTCTGAGGACTTCCATGAGGTAATATTATCACACTCTGTCTGGGGACTTCCTGGAGGTAATATTATCACACTCTGTTCGGGGACTTCTTGGAGGTAGTATTATGACACTCTGTCCGGGGACTTCCTGGAGGTAATATTATCACACTCTGTTCGGGGACTTCTTGGAGGTAGTATTATGACACTCTGTCCGGGGACTTCCTGGAGGTAATATTATCACACTCTGCCTGGGGACTTCTTGGAGGTAGTATTATCACACTCTGTCCGGAAACTTCCAGGAGGTAATATTATCACACTCTGTCCGGGGTCTTACTGGAGGTAATATTATCACACTATGTCCGAGGACTTCCATGAGGTAATATTATCACACTCTGTCCGGGGACTTCCTGGAGGTAACATTATTACACTCTGTCCGGGGACTTCCTGGAGGTAACATTATCACACTCTGTCTGGAGACTTCCTGGAGGTACTCTTAATCCACTAATTCATGCACCCAAGAAATGACGTTGTGTCGTGAAACCTAGACATTTGGGCCCCACGAAAATATCTGATTTCATAGTAACTAATATGATGTGCTGGTACCTAAGAAGTAAAATATAATAACATGTAGTTATATGTTGTTTACCTGTAGAATGTTGGTTATCAAAAGTGTATTTATAAACAACTTGAAGAACTATAACCATTAAGATATCAGTTGCGACTGTCCTGTTGTCTCGTACTGTATAAATTGATTAATGTACTTAAATTTTACCAATTATCAAACTTCCACAGATTAGCATAGTCACAAAACATGCAATAGACAACTTCAGTTTGAGCAATCTTAATTTTGTACAATACAATTACCTCTAAAGTATGTACATTCACAGTATCGTAATATATTATACAGTGTCTAATTTCACCAGACTAACTAGTCAGAATTTTTCAATGTATGAAAATATATTTTCAGGCTGAAGCTATTGGGCTGGAACAGCTCCAGTGGCTGCAAGAATTAGAGCTACAACTACTTGCTGAGATACGGTAGGTTCTCAAAGTATCTGAAATAACTTACATTCAGTTGTATAGCAGATAACTTAACATATCCTATTTGCCGTAATCAGCACCCAAAGTACTTGAAAAATTGGGTTATTGAGATAACAAAACATAGATTGTGTCAGTTGCTAGTAAAATCAAGCTTGATTTCCACCGCGTGTTTCATAACTGTCAGACACATTCCCAAGGAGAAATTCAAAAATGTTCGGTTTCTTTTTCTTAAACACAGTGAAAAAGTATTGGGAAACTTTTACATCTGATATCAATTATATATAGTACTATCTTTTTGCCAGAAAAGGCCAGAAAAGAAGTTTTTGGAGAGCAGGCACTTATATTATTTCAAAAATTTCTGAAAAAAGGGGAGGGTCATTTATAAGGGGTTGGGCGCTAATTACAGTGAATATGGTACATTGTGTAAATACCAATCCATCTGGGAGTTAGAATGACAAACAGAATACTATTTTTTTAGACCTGATGCTGTTACATTGGTGGACGCGCTGGACTTCCATGATGAGACTCTGTCGTCAGCTATTGGATGTTATGATGGGCGTGCGTATGAACGGTTGTACGAGGCTGCGTTGAAGGAACCGATGAATCAAACAGAGGTACGTGATATAGAACGAGTACTGTATACAAGGAAGGTTTCGTCCAGTCAATTAATCACCCTTTGCCAATAAAATCCATGGTCGCCCAGTGTTAATTTCGCCCTTCACATGTAATTACTATATATCGCATGTTGTGTACTAAAATGTCATGATATTGGGAAGGGCGAAATAGGCGAAAGATTAACTGTGGCGAACATTTCACGGTATACATTATCACTTTACCATTTATTTCTATCAATATTATTTCAGGGAACACCTCACAGCTATGCAAGAAATATGTATGTCATTTCTCCAAAGTAAAACCTTAATATTGAGTATCAAGGTTATAACAAGGACCCCCCTGACACTCTCATTCTCAACAGTTTGTCGAATAAACAGGGAATATAGTCTCTTACCTTAGCCTTTTACTCCTTTTGGAGGTTAGATAGGGTAATCTCAACCCAAAGGGAAGATTCTTAAGTTACCAAACATAAAGATTGCCGAGTGTTTTAGCAGTCTAAGATTAATAGAATCTCTCACCTCTTTGGCGAGTGTGAGATATCCTTTTTTCTTACCCTGGACAAGTGTATCCACACTTTTACCGGTGTGAAATTTCCTTGTCTCACCCTAGGGTTGAGACAGGGGGATTCCCCTATTCATAACAATGGTCACGTCAACAATCCATCAACGTCATGTCAACCCTGAATTTAGCATGTAACGTTATCATTACATTGTGTATCTGATACACAATGGGAGAACAAGGTAAGGGGAAAAGAATTATTCACCCCCTGGTGGGTGAGATAGGGGAATCTCACAGCCCCCTGGGAAAGATTTGTAAGTTGCCAAACACGAGGTTTTGAGAGATTCTATTAGTCTCTAACGTTGATCCTGTTTAGTATTTTGTTTATTACTTGGTAGAACCATGAATGTCTACTCACGTAAATAATTGTGCTGTTGATCATCACCATTTCTCAATTTCCACTTCATACCGATTTGTTTACTGTATGTTACAGGTTGATCCTGCGTATGACAAGTACCTGAAGCACTTGATAATGGAAGGAGCTCAGTCGAAATTATAATGCTGTTTTCGTGTGTATCACAACAGAACTATTTCAACTAATATCTGTGATATCAGCATTAGGATATAATTTATTTTGAATTTGTTCGAGGAACTTCATACCAGTTAATATCTTGTCACAAAATAATTTTCACCTTATTACGTAATAACGAGTAAATGAATAATTTCTGATAATATTAGTACACAGTACAGCATGAATACCAATACACACAATTTAACTCATTCACCCCTGAAATTTCATAATGAACTATTCCAACCTTTGAATTGGAGGAGTTCAAATGTGTATATAGGGGTGGATGGGTTGAGGGCAAAATTAACTCTTAGATGTATTGTGTTATCGGTGAATCGACTCGGTGAAATTCTTTGGCTATTTTGTTATCAGAGAATGAACTCGGTGAAATTCTTTGGGTATACAGTATTTTTATACATTTATGTGGAGTAAAACATTCACTGTAGATTACTGATTTCTCATGTTTATGATGGTCATTGATCACCAATTCAAGTTTCACATGAACAATCAATATATTATGATAGACATTTATTGTGATTGTATTTCCTCAGGTTAAGTAATGAAATGCGCAAACAAATATTCGAGTAGAAGCTTTTTTGGGGATTTTCAGCCTCAAAAAGTGCCTGCGCAAATTACACAGGTGTGCAAATTACATGGGTTTTTACGGTATTTGTATTAACTCTGCACAAAATACAGGTTGTCTGCAGTATAATATTGCAGTAATAACAGGTAATGGTGACCCTCTCTAGAGGTACATATTCTCAATAGGAATATATCTATTATACTGAAAACAAAGCGAATTTTGCAGTATAAATTAGTGTACAAGCCAGTTCACTACATTCACAGTAGACATGTACGGATTATATCTTGACTGTAGGTGCTAAATTCTGACCATGTCTCTAGTAACAGTTATTGTACAGAAAGTTAGAAAGCCAACATACCATACACCAAGATCTACAAAATTCCCTTCCTAATTCAGGAAGCAGTGTTCCTTTGGTGTAGTGTCTAGAGACTTTGTATGCGTTTTCTCCTCTACTTTGATGTAGAATGATTGCGTACTCCCGGAACAGGTTAGCCTAGATACATGTATCATTTATTGTTTTTAAAATAATAAGTCATATTTTATAGAATGTTAATGTTATTATATTCCTGTTCATTGCGGGGTACCGATATTACTGATATGACGTTCAGGAAGTAGAAATATATCCGTAATTTCGTATTATTCAACTCGAAAGCAAACCTGTTGCTCATTACTGCTGATGTAGCTTCGGAGGGCATCACAAAGATGAAGTGTCCTGCCCACACAATTTTGCAGCAACTGTCATCAATGATTCTTTTACAAAGAATTTTTGACACGACAAGATAGCTATAAATAACACTTATAATAACACTGGTAAGACTCTGTCGAAACATCATTTACATTAATTACATCAATAATGTAGATGGCCATTTAACAGCAACTCATAAATACCAGTGTTAAAAAATGTACACAGACACACTCAATTTTATTTTAAAATATTTGAGAAGAATTTGTATTCCTTTGTTCAGTATATATGTGTATATACCTTTATGATATTTATATATGTTTTATGAAGACATTTTTGGTTTATTAAAGGGCATAACATTCTAACATGTTTTTGTGTTAGCTGTACGGAATAATTTGGATTAATCAATTTTAGCTTGAATGCATTGAATATATATATATTTATTAACTTGAAGACATGTAAACATTTTTATGTTTAATTTGTTGGCATATTAGGTACTTAATGTTCATTAAGATGCAAAACGAGATGGTTAACCATCACCAAGTTTTTCTTTATTTAATCTCCTGATAAAGGTTGTTATTTTATAAATACCAACTAGATACTTAATACTAGTTACCTTAATTGGAAAGTGTTCAATGCACAGATGACACTGCCTCAGCATTTTTTAGAGGTTTCTGACTGTGTAACTAAAATTACATATATATCCTGAATATTTTCATGAACCATTGATAACCAGTGTTGCTATACAGACTTGTTTCTGCCCCACCCCCACCCCGTCTTTGATGGGCTAACCACTAGTGTATATTAGGATTTGACATGCTACAATTACCACTAAATGCCTGATTCCAAGTTAAGACATGTAAAGCACGAAAAAACAAGAACACCTGGAGTGAATTGAAAATGGCTGTTTTTATTCGAAACCACGTGTTTTTATATATATGTATAAAATCTTAATATAGAAAAGTATTTTTGTGAAATGTACTTAACTAACAAGTCTTAGGTGAGGTACGAAAATGTCACAGGGAATACAATCCCTTCGGAATGTAATAACTACCACTATCCGAAATGTACTACATAGATGTCCAAATATACATTGTATACCATAATTAATTGGAAACAACACTTACTTACAGTATATTGTTGTAGAGAAATTATATTTTTTATCTAAATTCATTTGGTCACCAAAATATATGACTATAATCAGATTTATTATATCAGGAATTATTTTCTGTTCATGATTATTTTTATTGTTATGCAGATGAAACAATTTTGTTGCTTTTTATTTTCTTCTAAATTTTAAACTGTGTTCATCGTTAAAGTCATTGCTTAATTTGTGAAGATAATCATGTCAATAAAAAACATCAATTTAATTACTTGTTTTGAGATTTTGATATCTAACCCTTTCACCCCTAGGTAACTTGAGTAGACTCTACCATACATTCATCTGGATGAGTCGATTATGGTCTACAGTGGTGAAAGGGTTAACTCACCCGACATAATGTCTTGGGATGGAGGTCTGTCAGGTTTGTTCAAATATATGCACCTGAAATCACTCTATGTCACATCACTCAAATGTGTGTAGAACATCAAACGACTTTGTGAAGACTACGACTCTTGATATTGATGATTGACATGTAGTAGATTGCTGGGATTGACGGATATTAACTTTGCTATAATACATTACCCGGATCCATTTTTTTATGTCAGAGGTCAAATGCGGTAAACATTTCAAACGACTTCCTCACATATAGATTGCGGAGACTCGGGACCATCAAGTTTGTTCAAATGAACGTCTTTCTCCCATGTTCAAGGTAACATCAGACAAACGTATCCGAAAATTCAGATCCACAAGGTCAACACAGCAGTCATGACATTTGTTACGCGGTGCGTTAAATTTGGTTGAAATGATCAAGATCACAGGGGTCAATTTTTCCATTCCGTAAAAATTCTTAATAATTTACTTATTCTGTCAGTGTTACGCTGCAAAAATGTTGCGTTTTTAGATTGATTAAAAAAGAACCCCGATATATTGACAATTACCACAAACATTAACACCGTATGCTATTAAGATTCTATTTTGTTAATTGTGATTTTTTCATGGCGTATCTTAAAAACACAGGAATCTACGCGCACTCCAGAGCGATCTTTCGACAGACAACGCATCAACACACCCGTCCACATTAGGTAAATATCTTTCCTTCACGCCTTAGTTTTACTTCCAAAATCGTTAACTAAAGAAATACAATAAATGGTATGAGGATTGTGAAGAATTTGAAATATCTTATGATCGATCTTTAACATCCTTTTATTAAAAAAAATGTTTCTTCTGTCAAAATGTTTGACTTTTCTACCTCTTTACACTACCAATCCTCATACCAAACTGAAGAAACTTTCTTTTCAAAGTGGGATGTTCGACGATATTGATATATGGTTGTAAATCATTTTGGAGCTTGTTTTGTTAAAAGCACAAAAAGGCCAAAATGAAATACACTGAGGACAATATTGTGAGAATGATTGAGTTCCTGGTTGACAATATTGATTTTGAGTTCGGTAGCAAGATTTTCCCAGCAGATTGGAGACACTCCCATGGGAACAAGCTGTGCCCCTCTTAATTATGGCCGATTTGTTTCTGTACTTATACGTACGAACCTGAATTCATTGATGAACTTATTAGGTCTGGTAACAAAACCCCAGTAAAGTCCTTCAATTTCACAGTCTGAACAGCCCATCAACACAATATGCTCATACAGGGCCACATGATATGAGCGTATTGTGTTGATGGACCGTTAAGACTAGCGTGTGGATCTGTATGAGCGTATTGTGTTGATGGGCCATTAAGACTAGCGTGTGGCCCTGTATGAGCATATTGTGTTGATGGACCATTAAGACTAGCGTGTGGCCATGTATGAGCATATTGTGTTGATGGACCGTTAAGACTAGCGTGTGGCCCTGTATGAGCATATTGTGTTGATGGTCTGTTCAGACTAGCGTGTGAATCTGTATGAGCGTATTGTGTTGATGGACCGTTAAGACTAGCGTGTGGCCATGTATGAGCATACTGTGTTGATGGACCGTTAAGACTACCGTGTGGCCCTGTATGAGCATATTGGGTTGATGGACCGTTAAGACTAGCGTGGGGATCTGTATGAGCATATTGTGTTGATAGACCGTTAAGACTAGCGTGTGGCCATGTATGAGCATATTGTGTTGATGGACCATTAAGACTAGCGTGTGGCCCTGGATGAGCATATTGTGTTGATGGGCCATTAAGACTAGCGTGTGGCCCTGGATGAGCATATTGTGTTGATGGGCTGTTTAGACTAGCGTGTGGCCCCGTATGAGCATATTGTGTTGATGGGCTGTTTAGACTAGCGTGTGGCCCCGTATGAGCATATTGTGTTGATGGACCATTAAGACTAGCGTGTGGCCCTGGATGAGCATATTGTGTTGATGGGCTGTTCAGCCTAGCGTGTGGATCTGTATGAGCGTATTGTGTTGATGGACCATTAAGACCAGCGTGTAACCCTGTATGAGCATATTGTGTTGATGGGCTGTTTAGACTAGCGTGTGGCCCTGTATGAGCATATTGTGTTGATGGATCGTTAAGACTAGCGTGTGGCCCTGTATGAGCATATTGTGTTGATGGGCTATTCAGACTAGCGTGTGGATCTGTATGAGCGTATTGTGTTGATGGACCGTTAAGACTAGCGTGTGGATCTGTATGAGCGTATTGTGTTGATGGACCGTTAAGACTAGGGTGTGACCCTGTATGAGCATATTGTGTTGATGGACCGTTAAGACCAGCGTGTCGCCCTGTATGAGCATATTGTGTTGTATGGGCTGTTCAGACTAGCGTGTGGCCCTGTATTGAGCATATATTGTGTTGATGGGCTGTTCAGACTAGCATGTGGATCTGTATGAGCGTATTGTGTTGATGGACCGTTAAGACTAGCGTGTGACCTTGTATGAGCATATTGTGTTGATGGACCGTTAAGACTAGCCTGTGGCCATGTATGAGCATATTGTGTTGTATGGGCTGTTCAGACTAGCATATGGTCTGTATGAGCGTATTGTGTTGATGGACCGTTAAGACTAGCGTGTGACCCTGTATGAGCATATTGTGTTGATTGACCGTTAAGACTAGCGTGTGGCCCTGTATGAGCATATTGAGTTGATGGGCTGTTCAGACTAGCGTGTGGATCTGTATGAGCGTATTGTGTTGATGGACCGTTAAGACTAGCGTGTGGCCATGTATGAGCATATTGTGTTGATGGACCGTTAAGACTAGCGTGTGTCCCTGTATGAGCATATTGTGTTGATGGACCGTTAAGACTAGCGTGTGGCCATGTATGAGCATATTGTGTTGTATGGGCTGTTCAGACTAGCGTGTGGCCCTGTATTGAGCATATTTTGTGTTGATGGGCTGTTCAGACTAGCATGTGGATCTGTATGAGCGTATTGTGTTGATGGACCGTTAAGACTAGCGTGTGACCCTGTATGAGCATATTGTGTTGATGGACCGTTAAGACTAGCGTGTGGGCCTGTATGAGCATATTGTGTTGATGGTCTGTTCAGACTAGCGTGTGGATCTGTATGAGCGTATTGTGTTGATGGACCGTTAAGACTAGCCTGTGGCCCTTTATGAGCATTTATTACCGTTAAGACTAGCGTGTGACCCTTTGCGTGTATGCGATACGACACAATTGCTCTAACCCATATCAGCCCTCGCCGTATCACACCCCAAAACCCGTATCAGCACCCGCCGTATCACACCCCAAAACCCGTATCAGCCCGCAAAACCCATATCACACCCCTTTTGGAAAAAAATCGTTTTTCAATATTTCAAAAATAAAAATAAATCATAAGATAGTAGTGTTTATTAGTAAGTACGTAATAAACAGAATAAAACACGCCTTTTTCCATATCACACCCAGTATCAACCCGCGACCAATATCAGCCATCTGCAGTCTCGGGTTGATACTGGGTGTGCTATGGAAAAAGGGCTTGTTCTCGTTTCCCCCACTTTTTAAAATAACATGGGGGGAAGAATGTTGTTAGAAGGATTATAGTCTGTTTCTAAGTAGTATGGACAGTATTTACCTGTGTTTTTACCCTGTGGTTAACCCTTCTATCTAAGGTGGTGTTTTATCATATTTAATTAAATAATACATTATATAAGTTTTTATTAAGGCTTTATTTATATTATTTCATAAACAACTCAATTATGCTTCATAAGAGTCCGCTAAGTTACCTTAGGAAAACCTTAAAGTTTTCCTAAACTTATGACGATTTTGATAATTTGTAATTATTATGTATGGAATTGAATCTATTGTTAAGTAGACAAACACGTTGTAAATGCACAGTTAAAGATTTATTTAATTTTTACGTAAACTAAACAATTGCGCTAAAAAAAAGCTGCGTTGTAATTTTGCATTCTGAATTGTAAAAAGTAGTTCCGTCATCAGTTGTTTTTCTTTTTAGATATATACGATATATACCAAAAAACATATTATGGGGGAGATAGGCAAAATTAAATTAATTGACTGTAAACTCTACATATGTATAAATATAAAAATATATCGATTGATGATGGTGAATGATGTTTGACATTATACAATTTTTACATAGAGGAGGAGGAGGAGGAGGAGGAGGATGAATAAGATGCTCATCACGTATAGATGATGATGATGATGGTGACAGTGATGATGATGATGATGATGATGATGATGATGATGATGATCTTCCCCCCATGTTATTTTAAAAAGTGGGGGAATCGACATTCAGGAAAACGATGAAAGTTATATTCTTATATATAATGTTCTAAAGAGTCAATGCTGGTGAAAATTGGGTTGACGATTTCAGTAAAGCAACGGAATGATCCAGAAGAGCTTTATATATCTTACGATTACCCCCCCC